GAATTGAAGTATCTAGAATGAGGTGCTGCGTACCTCCTGTGAGTTAGATGAATACTTTGGTATCATAGTGGAGATGGGGCGACGCTTGGCCTTGATTTGAGGCGGACGTGACTTGTTTCTACTAGACGAAGCGACAGCCTTACGAGGTTTCCCCGTTTTTTTGTCCGGTCCTGGGGGCTGCTCCACCTTGGATGGGGTGTTCAAGTCTCGTAAGGGCCGTCGAGCGGATAGCATGTCAAGGGAGCTTGGTAGAGAGCTTTTCCAGGACGAATACGAGATTTCACGTAGATATAAATGTGATAGCTTTGCTTTCAGGGCACGACTGGAACGTAGTTGGCGTCAACTTTCCAGCCAGCCAGCCATCCGCCACAAAAGATTGCCCACGGACCGCGAAATGCAATGGACAAATCAGGTTTATTAGCCACGGCTGCCGAGGATTGACCTCGCAAATACCCCTCGCACGGTAGGGCTGCCTCTATGACAATGATTTGCGATATTAAGACTTGGATCGCCTTATGAGGCCATTTAACGTGGTATCCAAACTCGTAAATTACCAGAGTTGTTGGCAGCCATAGTCGGGAGCTTCGGGGTGTCTCTGTAGCTGGTACATATCGTAAATCATTTATCGATCCGTTGCGACGCGAATATTCACGAAAGAGGTGTGGATGGAATATGTTTCTCAGCCACGAATGGTATTAGAAGGGGAGGTGGCAGGAAGCAACTAGAGTCTTCATCGTCTTACTCACCACCACCTTCCATTTCCTAGAAAATCTCTTAATCCCTTTCTCTTTAATCATAGCTTCTCGTCATGGCAGCCTCTGTGACACGTATCCTCGAACTTCGTGGCTTTGATGCCAAGGTCAAAACGCGAGACATCCATGCTGCCTTCGCCGACTTTGGAGAGCCTTTTAAAATCAAATGGATAGATGATAATAGTCTTTACCTTGTATTCAACGATGCTGTAGCTGGTGCGTGGCCTTGCATTCCAGTGTCAGCGAATGGCTCCGCTCATGACCATTTAGCCAAACGCGTTTTCCTTCAGGCATTAGGCTCAATGCCTCATCAACTGATTCCTGCACCTTTCTCTACCGTAAACCTTACTCCTTATAAAGGCCCTGATGCACAGGCTATCATCGTCCATACTCAGCGACCCTCACGATCTGATCGAGCTAATTCTGTGACCTCTCAAGACGTAGCATCAGCCGACGCAGCAAGGGCGACTGCGTCCGGGAACATTAGCCCCGCTGTATCCATGCTAATTTATGCCGCGAACGCTGCATCCGGCCCTCCAGGCGTAATCAATGGAGCTCACATCTCGCTCCCTGGTATGCCTAACAACGCTGGAAATAATTTTGCTCAGTATCAACAGCAGCAGCAGCATATGGGGAATGCTGTTCCGACGCGCAAAGGAAGTAATGGGAGTCTTCAAGCTAGCTTCAGTCAAGTGAGCTTATCCGATGGATTCTCTTATGGACTAGGAGGCGGGTACCCTAGCCTAAGCGGACCCATTGCGGGGACACTTTCCGAGTCTTCTTCCTGGTCAGACTCGTCTCCCAGTTATTCCAACTTGCGCGCCAACCGAAATGGGTCACTTTCACTCCATCCTAACGGTATCCCCATGTCACGGTCTACCCTAGAAGATATCGCCGAAGCAACTTCTCGTGAAGAAATGTCTCATTCACAAGCCGTCTCTCGTGTAAACTCCATCACTGTACCAACCGCCGATCAAGTCGCAAACATTGTCGTCACCGCGAGCACCCCCGACTTGAATGGTGATTTTGAGTCGCGCCAGGGAAATGTCAACACTGTAGCATCCAGTGGATCGAGCTCACCTCGAGGAGTGACCAAATCAGATACCGAACGCCCCGGAGGCCCATGGCTTTCGCGTGAGCCTTCACCCACTCCTTCCCTTCCTGGTATGACGACTAGACCATCTCTGAACTCGCTTATCGCTGGAGTGGACAAGCTCGCACTTCACAACCGTAGTGGGAGCAACACAGACCAAGAAGCTTATTCTGATGGCGAGGGTGGATATCGTCGCACTTCAGAACACAAGGTGGCTACCCCTCCTAGGATCGGGAACCCTGGTAAACGTATGTTGGGCCACGCGTTGGGTATCCGCCATCCTAGCCTTCCCCCCCGTGTTATCGCTGGAGCGACACCTGTTACCAACTAAAACATCTCGACTCCCTGCACTTGTATAAACTTGTGGCTCGTTCTATTCGCCAAAAGGCCATCCTGTCGTTTAAATTACTGTAGCAAGACCCAGCGACCCAATTGTAGAAAGTAGTTCCCGAACGAATTACATGTATTTATATTTCCATATGCCAAATTTACTGGGTTTACTTGCACTTGATTGGTTGACCACGGCTGCCTTTCAGTTACTTCAACCGATCTATAACCCTTAATGACGACAACGATGATCAGCATGGCGAATCGGACATTTGTAATCAGATCACAGAAGTCTCTGGATTACTAAAAGGGACTAATTCCGGCCTGCTATACTTCAACTCTCGAACCACAGATGAACTCGTCAAAGCTACTCTCTCCGACTCGCGTTGGCAGACTTGATCTTGCACATAGAGTTGTTCTCGCTCCATTGACAAGAGTACGTGCCAACTCGGCTCATGTTCATGGTGATCTTGCCGTGACGTACTATGGACAACGCGCGAGTATTCCTGGAACACTCCTCATCTCAGAAGCAACCTTGATTGCACCACAAGCCTCCGGTCACGATAATGCTCCAGGTATATGGAGCAAGGACCAAATTGAAGCGTGGAAAAGAGTGAGTCCTTGAAGGTCACTTTTGTGTAAATACCGATGAAATATGTATAAGGTCACGGAAGCCGTCCACAGGAACAAGTCATTCATGTACCTACAACTTTGGGCTCTAGGACGGCAAGCTAAACCGGATTCTATCAAAAGAGAAGGTTATCCCTATGTATCTAGTTCTGATGTTGCCATGCGAGGGAGACCAAATCCTCGACCTCTTTCTGGAGCTGAAGTGAAGCAATATGTAGAATTGTATGCAAATGCAGCAGAAAATGCAATCGAGGTGCGCACAACAAGCATGGGCCATCACCTCCTGACCATGACTTTAGGCAGGCTTTGACGGCGTCGAAATTCATGGAGCTAATGGTAGGTTGTAGGATAAATAGAGCAATATTTGATCTCTGCAATCAGGTTATCTTATCGATCAGTTTCTTCAAGACGTGTGCAACAAGAGAACCGACGAGTATGGAGGCTCCATAGAAAACCGCTCTAGATTTGCGCTAGATGTTACAAAAGCCGTAACATCTGTGGTGGGAGAAGACAGGACAGCTATTCGACTCAGTCCCTGGAGTGAATTCGGAGGTAAGATAGCTCGAGCAAAATCTTTACCTATCTTTGACTTATTCACTAGACATGAGGATGGATGACCCTATTTCAACCTTTCAATATCTCGTTCAACAATTGCACGACCGGTTCCCCAGCTTGGCATATATCCATCTTATAGAGTCAGAGATCAAGGGTGACAATGACGCGCAAGCGAGAAAGCGTACTGATGCAAAGAAAGACTCGAATGACTTTGCGAGGAGGATCTGGGGAGATAGGCCTTATATTTCCGCAGGTGGTTACAAACCGGATACCGCCAGTCAACAAGTGGAGAAGCATGGAGGACTGGTTGCATTTGGTCGACTTTTCCTCGCTAATGTGGGCGTTTTTCGTGATAAATTTATGCTAAAGGACTGACTCTGTAATAGCCGGATCTCCCCAAGAGGATTCAACTTGGAGCACCCCTCAACACCCCAAATCGCAAGACGTTCTATACACCCGGTCCTGTGGGATACACTGACTATCCATTCCTCGAAGCTGTATCAAAGAATAAAGCTTAAAGGGACATACCAGATATGCTTCAAATGGTTGCACACAGCCTCATAAAGTCATATCTGGGTCGTAGTTCCTTTGCTTGACGCTGGGCTCTTCACATCTCTGTGATACATATTTTAGGAGCACTTTTTGTTGACTCGTCTCTGCTGTATCCTGCCACTAG